AAATGCATAATGTATCAATCAAATAAATATAATATATATCAACAAATCAATGATTAACATCGATTATGATTGTATTATCCAAAATGAAACTGTTTTCCAACAATACCCATTGGCAATCGATCATTAACATTCTAACCAATCATTCTTTAACATGATTACATTCGAATACTAACTATACATGTTGGCAATCGATTGCAAATCACTTTAATTGGCAATTGATTATCAACACCCCAACCGATTAACATTGATCATGATTACAAACGATTGCAAACTATTCTCATTGAAAATCAATTGCCAACCATGTATATTGGCAATCGAGCATCAACAACTCACCGATTAGCAATGATCATGATTGCAATCAATTGCAATCAATTCTCACTAGTAATTGATTAGCTATCTTATACATTGGCAATCGATTATCAACACCTCCATCGATTGGTATCGATCGTGATTGCAATCGATTGCGAACAGAACTTATTAACAATTAATTGCTGACAATTTCCATTGGCAATCGATCATTAACACACCATCATTTTCTATCACTAGCAGTTGCAATCGATTGCTAATGATGTTCTTTGATGATTTTTGAACGCAATTGATTGTTAGTGATTATAATTGATTTTAATCACTGACAATTGATTATAATCCCTATCGATGATGAATGATGGGGATGTTGATAATTAATTACCAATGGGCATGATTATAAATCGATTGTCAACGGGTATAGAAATTTCCTGATGAGATCTATATTAATATTACAAAATTACTGATTCTTTTCTAAATTACACAAAATTTAACTATATTATAATTAATAATCTTGTTCTATATTAAAGTATCAATAGCAAAAATAGAAAATAAAACTAATATAGAAAATAATAATTTTATCAAGAAAATTATGTGATTAATATATTTAAATAAAGATAATAATGATGAAATAAATATAAAAAGATAAATGATATGAGAAAGAAAAAGAAGAAAATAAAAAGAAGTAGAAAGTTATTGAACTAAATATATAATTGAAATATTATCATAACTAATTTTTATCGTAACTATATCTTCTATTTATGTGTTCTTATATCAAATCAATGATAGTATATTGAATCAGTAATATTAATAAGATTTGACAGTATTCTTTCAATTTCATAGTAAATTGAAGATGTGATATATTTATTATTTTTTAATAATTCTTTATAAGTTTTCAATAATATTTCTATTGTTAATAATTATGATAATTGTTCTGCTAATTGATTATCTTTAAAAGCATTTTTTATAACTTTGATTATATTTTCTTTTAAAAATATTTAAGTTTTATTTATTCTTGTTGAATTTTCTTTATGCATTAGAATTTGTTAAACTATTTTAATTGAGATTTCAAATAATTGTTCTAGTATTGTATTAATATCTATTGTTGAGAGCAAATCTGGTGTCATTTCTTTTTAAAACTGAAAAGATCAAAAGAATCTATAATACTTGTTGTTTCTGGTTGAGTTTCAATAATATTTATTGAAAATTGGAATTTATTACTACTAATTTCTATTCAAATTTCTGAATATTATTGTTATATTTTAAAATATAATTCATTAACTAATATAAAAATTTCATCAAAAATATTTATAAAAGATATAATAAATAAGTAAAGAAATAAAATATACAACTAAGAAAATGATAAAAGATAAATTAATAAATTTTTGAAGTTTTTTTCGATTATATATATTTTTGCTTTTTTAGGGATATAAATTTAAAATAAAATACTAAATTAATAAGGAATAAAATTTAAAAAGAGATAATAATTAAATAATTATTTATTTAAAAGATTTGGATCATAGAATTCTTTTAATAAATCATATAATCATGGATCTTTAGCATTTCATAATTCATATAAGGAGCTAATCTTCATTTCAAGTTTCCATACAAGTATGTTCAGTTTCACAAGTTATTTAGTATCTGCTTTATTCAATAATTTTTCTTTGGTTGATTACTATAATTTGTTTTACAAGTTTGACAGATATAATCTTGAATTGATTCAGTTTTTCTTTGTATTGGCTATTGTTTGATAGATCTTTTAGGTGTAACTATATATTTATTACTTGATAATGATCAAGAAATGCTAGTGATATTGCTATTTTTATTACTGGTTTGTGACCAGATGTCAGAGTAAGTGTTGTTGTTACTTGAAGTTTCTGATTGTTCTCTATAGTGAGAAGTAAGATTATGTTCTGGAGTATTGTCATTGTCATGAGTTTTTCCTTTATCTTTTGTTGGTGTTAAAATTATTTTAATATCTTCTTCATCATCTGTATTAGTAAGATCAATGATATATTTTTCTTTAAGAATAATAAATTGATTTTAGATTGTGTGTTTGCCATTGTTTATACAAGTTGCCAATATATTCAAAAGTTTGATTTTATAAAAACCGTGACATTTTGACGATTCAGAAAATCGGGTATAAACATTTTTATTTTTCCTGGTCTAGGATCCATGTTATATATTTCAAAAATGCTAGTTGATATACTGCGTAAGAGATATTAATAACTAGCTATTAGTTATAACACTTTCGAGTTTCATATTTATTTTTATCGCCAATAAGTCAATATTATCAATAAACTCATGGTATTTCTCTACAATGGGATAAATGTGATCAAGTACAAATTATTATTTTTCGAATGCGCATATATATTTACACTACACATACGTAAAAACCTTCCTTTTACTTAGTATTTTTCTTAATGTTTTTCTTCCTACCACCTGATTTTTCAGTAGCAGTTTCGGAGATTGTGGAAGGTAATATACGAGGATCGCAAAAATATTTGAACTTTTTTGGTGAATCGATCAATGGATCCGAATCATCCACCTTGGCTTTGCGCATAACTTCCACAGTTTGACCCATTCGCAACTTTCTTGTTAAAGTATATGCGTAAGATGCAGTATAAACAAGAAGCATATATATTACAAAGAACGATTCACTTACAGTCATTTTTAGTACCCTATTCATGCAACCAATCAGCTCATTCACAACAAACTCTGTAGGATACATCATACTGTAAATCTAGAGAAATCATAGTAATTTAAAAAAAAAAATCTTACACATTATGTGATATTACTGGATTTCACAAACCTTGGTAGATATATAAAGCTGGTGATCGACCAATCTAGTAACATACGAATCTATATGATTGTCTGAGTAAACAAAAAAGAATTTTAGGCGTCTAAATTGTTTATATATTTCTTTCCAATTTAGATCATGACATACCAGATATCACAAAGGCTATAAAATCCATCTCGAAAATTTTCTCCTTCTTTGAAGTAGGAAGATTGTCATATGCGTAATGGATTTCATAGATATTTTCCCGAAGGCTCTTATTTGTGTCAAGATCGTATTTATCTGTATCTTGTATTATACCATCTTTTGCAATCTCTATATTTCCTATTAAGAAAACATTATGAGTGAAGGTTAAGTTGCATTGAGCTATTTAACATCAGCCATACTCACCAGGTTCAATCTTGAGAACATCATCACGAAAGTAAATATCTGGTTGTTTTCCATGTAACTTTGCATCAACTTTATGCAACACAAACGATGAACTCTCAGATGATGAACCAGCTCGAAGAGTGCGAAAATATTGAATAGCCAAGCGATCAATGAGAGAATAGTAAATGGATGCTGATTTATGACTTTCACTATTTGTTTTAGTTAAAGGATTCTTTGAAGATAGTTCTATATAATCTAGCCTAGTATAAGGATATAGAAAATTATTAATTTATTAATCACTAGTCTGTAATTTTGTAAAGTTTACTTACCAGTTATCAACAGTTGACAGGATCCATTTCTTTAGATAAAAGAGCGTATCCTCAAGCTTTAACTGCCGTTGCATTGATAATTGCATTTCTCTTAATGAACGTACTGTCCGAGTATTTGTTAGTTCTTTGAGCATGTTTTTTAATTCCACCGGCAATTCTACATTACCGTGAAAGTAACAAATTTCTATCAATTCCTCGAAATCTTCCACTTCCATATAACCATTTAAAAGCCAACCATTGTCTCTATCAAGAATGAGATGATTCCCGTTCCAGAAGCTATTATGAGGTACACCATCTAGAAGACTTCTTATAATCGTGCCACTTTTAAGTATAAGGCGCGGTCTTGAAGGGTAAAATGATTGTGCAGTTGAAGATTTTTTTGATAATTGCGGTGATTGAAGTGGTGTGGGACTGGGCGGAGCCCATGAATCACTATTTTCATCCACTGTGTCTGGAGTTCGTGGTTCAGTTTCATCTTCATTTCCTTGTCCGCGTAGACGTTTGAACGCACGATAGTCTTCCATACTCTCTAATCGTCTCGCCACCTTCTCTCTAACCAAGTGTCCTTGCCTATCTTGTTGGAGGGTCGAGTATACAGCAGTGGTAGTAAGTTCCTCCTACAACAACAGAGGAGCAGTAAACACATTAGTATTTCCATCACGTCATATTGGCAGATCAAATACATACCACTAAAGCTGAGCGCTCAGATAAGGTCTCGATTTTCCGTTTTTGTACTGAGATGGCCTTCTCCCAGAATTCGTTGATTAAATCCGATTTTTTTTCTCTCTATTAAGGATATAAGGATTAATAAAGCTAAAGGAAAAAATTATAATCCTGAGTCGCAGTTCATATATTCTAGTTGCAAGAACGGAACCACCCGAGACGAGACTCATGCACTCCCGAGCGAGATCAAGAGTGTTGGGTGATTGAATGCAGGACGAGACCCCATCCAAAGAGTTATTGCTCTTCAGACCCGTTCACTTTCAACCAAGAAAAACAATTCATGCACTTTCGATAGGATGGAACTACCCGAGGCGAGACTCACACACTCCCGAACGAAATCAGGGGTGTTGGGCAGGACGAAACCAATCACATATGCACTTTTCGGCAGGACGGAATCACCCGAGACGAGACTCATGCACTCCCGAGCGAGATCAGGAGTGTTGGGTGATTGAATGCAGGACGAAACCCCATCCGAAAACTTTATTACTCTTCGGACCCGTTCACTACCAACAAAAGAAAGAAAAGAAAAATACTTAACTTGCATTGATGTAAGCGCCACGCCAGCTCGTTCAATTGCAGTCTCAGGTAAATCTTCACAGTTAATTATGGCTGAGAGGTTGCGAATGTAGCGTTTGTGTTCACTGCATTTATCAGCTAAAAAATCATCGCACTGTTGTCGATAGAGTAGGAAACTTAACAATGACCAGTCACGATCAAGGGTGAAGTAGGTATGATCGTCTATTGTGATTCCTATTGAAAAAGAAGAAACTCTATAACGCCGAGGAAGGTAGAAATCCCAGAGAATATAAACTTACCTTCCATTGTTTTGATAAACGTGGGATATGTTTTTTCTTCTGCTACAATAAAGTTAAAGGCTGATATTGACGGGAAAATAGAGTACCCTAGCCATGGCGAAAAATTTTGTTCAGATCACGTGCTGTCGATCAGATATTATCCAATCAGAGGTTATCTACCAAAGTTGGCCAATAAAATTGCGAGTTTATGATCACGTGTAGAAAAAGAAATGAATGTGTAAACCAATCACTTTTCTCGAACCAAATTTCAAATTTCCTAATTTGGGTTTTACCACTGATATAAGTCACAAGTCATAGATTGATTCCTAATTTGGATAAATGATATGACATAAATAAAAAGCGAATAGTTCATAACGCTCGACTAGTAATAGATGATATTGGTGCAAATCAACAATATATATGTAATGCATGAATTATTTTTTTTTGCTAAAGTGTTTATTGTACTTAAATTAAATTTTAAATTTCATAATTAACACTGATGATAGAAATTTTTTTAGTACAGAGCTGAATACTTTTTCAAGTTCATTTTCTTGCTGTTAGTTTTTTTTCACACTATTCTAATAATTATTTCTTCAGATGTACTGTTAAACTTAAAGAAGCATTCAGCTCCATACTAAAAAAATTTCTGTCATTGATGTCGACGTTTTAATGAGACTTTTAAGATATTTATAAAATATTCAAAGAGAAACTTCCAATGTCGTAATAATAATTCAAAGTATTAATAATACTTTATGACTATTAGACTGAATGTGAATAAGTACTAAAAGTACTAGTGACAAAATTACTTAAAGGTTGGTAACAGTTGTATTTTTTTAATATAATAACTGGACTGCTAAAAAGAGTTCTCAAAATCTCAATGTTAAATATAATATATGTATTAAAAACGTCTTTAAATCTTTAAAGTCAAATATAAGATATAATATTCATATTATCAGCAATACGAGATTGAAGATAAGTGTATGAACAATGTATTATTAGCAATACTGTTATCATTTTGATGAAACTTTTGAAATACTCAAAGGTATTTATAAAATTTAAGGAATATTCAAAGGGAAACTTCCAATGTCTTAATGACAAT